AACAAAAAAATTGCTAATTAGCCCGTGTGTATAGGGTAAGTTATGTGTGCAGGGTGTTTCGGGTCACTGGGCCGCCTAGGAGGAGAAGCGACTACGCACAGACACTTACGCTCATTAGTAAGGTAGATGCATTGACGTTTGGAAACTGTTCCCGCTGTTCATTGGTTATCTGGGAAATCTGATGCTGGATCTCTTTGAAAACATGCATCCTCAGATGCTATACGCCTGCATTAGCTTCCTGCGTTCGTCAGAAGCAAATTTGAAGATTTTAAGCTCTATTGGTATAAAGGAATGCACGGAAGGAGCGGGACATGCGGTAATCTCACATCAAGAATCCCCATCTACGATGCTGCCAGAATTTCGGGGACAGGAATTTGTTCGAAAGGGCCTAGGGTCAACTAAAGCCTCCATCATCTCCTTCTACAACGCCTCCTAACTAAATCATGGAGGAACCTGTCTGCAATTTGGAAGTATTACAAATGGAAGCAGTTGCACGACGACTTACTAAGGCGAGATTATGCGATAGAGTGCCTTGCAATACGACCCGTCCTAGTGCTGCATCATTTTCAGTATTACTCGGATGTACTACTCCTGACTTCTTTCTCTTCGAGAGAAGTCTCCCTAATATGCAAAAATGGACGACGCTCTTTATGATATTTAATCAAGTACTCCCTCTGTACCATGACGCCTGAAGTCCTTAAGTCTTCCTTAAGAATACCTTAAGAAGTAAGCACTCCTGATGTCGGTGTAGCCGAAATACATATTTTGATGGATACCCATCATCTCAGTGATGACACGATGGTTGATTCGTGGTGTGACCCAAACAATTTTGACTTTATATCACACGACGGAAGTAACTCACCCGCTAAATTGATGGATCCAGTCCCCAGTACAAGGACCTCAAGAATGGGACGGAATGAGGATTCTGGCAATGTTACGATTGCATTGGATCGGAGATCGAGCACTGTGCTGGATATGAGACCTGAAATGGAATTGGAATGTTTGTTGTACTGCCAAAGCCTGTGAAAAATTTTCTGACCTCTCGTTAGATTTCATAAGACATTGGAAAAGAAACTCTTGAAGGCTGATGACTGATGGCTGTGGAAATGAATACCTGCTATCGCCCCCGGTTCGAGACTGGAGATGCTGTTGAGGTCAAGGGCCACGTATTCTAAGGCATCACTGTAAAATGCCAAGGACCCAGTTGCCAAAGTCGGTCCCAAGTTGCAAGAAATGCACCAAAATTCGACTAATTTGTCCAAAGTCTGAAAGAATCCATCTGGAAATTGGGTAATTGGATTCCCATCTGTAAGAAAAATTTTAATCGTTGGTTTCAGCAGCATAGCATGCCGAAAAAACATTAACTAGAGCCAAACATGCCTTCCTAGAATTTCCATGCATTTTTTGGCCCTGCTTTGATTCAATATCATTGACATGTGTGCGACAAGTGAAAGCAGGGAGACCGTAGGAATGGTGCTTGTGGCAGTAATATATGATCCGGTTGAGATTTTTAAATTCTTTGGAATGTATCATATTTGTGAAGCCTCCAAATATTTGAGTTGCTTATACCCGGGCAATTGGACGTGTGGCACGAGCTTTATAGTGAAACTCAGACGACTGGTAATTGAGTGTGGTTGGTAGGAAGTTCTTTTCCTGCTTCTTTCATGCTGATTTTTTTTTACCCCTGATGGGTAACTTACAAATCGTTGCCAAAAATAGGCGTTTATAAATTCTTAATAATCTCAGGTGGGCGAGATTGGGCCATGAATACGATACTTTTTGGTAGAGACATATATTTTCGACGTATATTTTTTTTAACCTATTGTATCCAAGACTGAAATAATTATTATATTGGAGTCTGCTGCACTAAATCAAGCTACACTAAGCATGTTTCACATATCCTAGGAGGAATTTCCGACATTAAGTGCCAACATATTTATTTAAATTTGAACATTACAAGAAAGTACCTAAAAACCTCAACCATTTCCTTTACAAAAAAGTATTCTCACCTAAAGACTTGCTTTCAGGAATATAAATTGCCAGCGATTACCAAGCTGGAAGTAAAAGTCAGTGATAGTAAAAGCCCATCCTCGAAAATGCTAGCGGATCAGTCATATAGGCAAAACAATTGTACTCACTCATTTTCAGCATGATCAGGTTTGGAGTGGACCATCCTCCTTTTAGAGAAGTTATGTTATTATCATACAAGAATAACTTCTCGAGACTGGCGCTTTCGATGGCGGGGACATTAGTCATGCTATTGTTTCGTAAGTCCAAGAACTGAAGGACCGCAAATTGGGGCAGGATCTCCCACGGTAACCTCTGGAGGGAGCTGCTCATGATCCTCAGCATGCGGAGATCATTCAGGGACGAATGCATGAACGTGGGGTGGACGGTCTCCATGATCGTCCGGTCGATGAAAACCCGTTGGAAGGAGATATCTCCGAACACGCCAGAAGGGAGCTCGTCCACCGCTTTGTTGTCATACATAACGAATTGCCTGCAACCAAAGAGAATAGGAAGAATGAAACTCTCCCGGCTTCCACGCTTATCTCTGCTCCAAACTGAAATCGATTCCCCCGAGGATTCTCTCAAGGATAGAGTCCGGTTCTCTTTGATTTACAATAAAATTGTTACACTTCACTACAACAGTAAAGCACTACAACATCAGTTAACTAAGTTTAAAAAGTTTTTACTTTTATTTTGCTTTCAATGGCGTCCATCATGGAGGTACTGGATGACTATTCATAATGCATTGCCTAATGTACCTTGAATTGAGAAATAATCCGAAGCGATTCTACTTCAAACCTGAAACATCTGTTTGTAGTTCCAACCATATTATTATACTATAAATGGAAACATCCACTCCTCCCATTTAAAAAAAAAGCCGTGCGTTTCAGAGGAAATTAAAACGCTCTCATGGCGTTGGTCGTAGCTCCTGTGACGGTCAGCTTTTCGGCTTGCCGTCTGAAAATCGAGGGACCGACATGGTTTGTTAGTTTTCGGTTTATGGAAACGCGAAGGAATTCTTAGGAACGATCGGTAGGAGCCTTGTCACCTTGCATCATCGGGAATGAGACGTGTAGAGGCAGACTATACAGTAGTGGGTTCCGTCAATTAGTATGGCGGCTGCCCTAGCGAGAGGGCAGCATATTGTTCCAAAGACCGTCGCTTGGGACTTGGATTAAATCGACTTTAATGACTTCAGTGAGACTAACATTGATTATGGATATGTAATGTAGGAAGGTTTCTTTGGTGTTTCGTCTTCTCTCCCCTCAATAGAACTCGACAGCGATGATTCTCCTTAACCCAATAATCAACTTCCTTGTATCATCTCAGTTGGAATAACACTCCAGCAAGTTAACTTGGAACTCTCGATCTCCCATATTACAATTTAATCACTAATCTAATCTTATCACTTCCGGGAAATAATTTTAGATGGCCTGACTAATATTTTGCAAATCACGTTGTCGGGATATTCCTATCGACGATGTTGCTTCAGATGAATTGTACCACTTCAAAACATGCACAAGTAAAATGAGATGTATCGTACTAATAAGATTCCGATAGAGTACAAATGATGGATTTGCTGACTAACGAGATCAGAGTGAAGGGCCACGTGGCGTCGTGGAAGGCGGAGGCGATGTCTTCGCTCGTCGGCGCCCCCGAACAGTCGACGAAGATTTCGTCGTACTCCTCGAAGTGGATGCAGATGCAAGGGGTGATGTCTCCCGGGGCAGGGCAAGGGGTCTGCCCCCTTATCCCGAGGATCACGGAAAAGAGGAAGGAGAGTGGAAGGGGAGAGGAGGACCGCATTGTCAAAGTCGTGGGTCGATCTGTCGACTGAGGGGATGTAGATAGAAAAGAAAATGCGTTGGATTGCATTCCCAAGGCTCGTCTTATCGCGAGAGTCATGTGTCTTGTTTCCCATAGGCGAGAATACACTAGTGTCAGGGGCAAACTCCGGAGAATGACGAAAGATCCTGTTCAGCAGAAAAAAAATTGTCAAGAGGCGAATAACTTAACTCACGACACACACGAAGCAATTTGAACTATAGCTCGCCTTTGACGTATTTGCTTCTGACGGTAATTATTAGTTTGATGATTTTTCAAATAAGGTTTTCACGTCGTCGTTTGCGATGTCTTCGGAAATAATATGGGAACCCCCGTATCTTGGACTTCGTTTACAGTAGAGACCTCACAATATTAGCTCCTCCTTATTCTCTCCGGGATCTGGATCCATACCAAATGCCATGTTACAATATTTTCGAGCATTGTTCATTGGCACATTCGACTTGAAATAATCCACCTGGAAATTGTGGAACGGACGTTGTGAGGCTGAGATAGAAGTTGACAAAGAACCTATTCCACTTATCAGCTGCCAGATGCCTTCGCTTGTCTACCTTATTGTTGTTTCTCCCATGCACGAAACTATTCTCCTACAGAAAATAATGAGGCTTTTTTCTAAATCACATAGTATGTGCTGGATATTATAATTAATCGATTCCCTATATGTTGGGTAATAGAAGATTAAATGAAGCTCACCCATAATGACAATTTCTGTTGGTTTTGGTATCTAACCATTATCACTAATTTATTTCACTTAGTTTACTTTCTGATAGCCTTTAGCATTGCCGAAACACTCCTGGGTATACATTCAATCGTCCTGACACGCTCTGCTTTCTTAATAATGATCTATTTGACTTGGACTCGCGGCCACAACTCGCGCATGCGCCGGGACCTGGTCTCATGTGCGTTCAGGTGCCCCTTAAATTGATCCCTCAAGTTATTGATGGGATTCGGGAAAGGTGATTGTGACAGACAATTCATGATTTTCTCCATTTTTGTTGCGAGCTAACTGTAATGATATTGAGCTGGGTGCCTTGGATCATTGTCCTTTTGGAAAATGATTTCATCTATATCGACCTGGCAGTAGTTTATGGTTCCAATGAAATTCTCTTCGAGGATGCGCCAGTAGAGTCAAGCTTTTAATTCACCATCTATTCCGCACAGATTCTTGACTTCTGGTCGTCTTGCATCCCCAAACCATCAGAAATCCACTACTATATTTGACGGTGGGTTAGACGAGTCGAAGTTGAATTGGTGCTTCCGCCTGTTTCCAGTACCGTTTCAGTCCAAATCAGTTGATCTCACCAGATCAAATGGCGCATTCACAACGGTCTACAATACAATCTACACAAGAGTAATTTCAAGTCAAGTCTTCATGGGCCTTGGCGGAAGCATAAGATTCTTGACCTTGGGTGCAGCATTGAATTCACCCTCATGTATAACGTTCAGCAATTGGGAGCTGCAATTGGTGTTCCAGGCTGCTATCAGACTTCAGCGCCTTGTTGCATCTGTGGCAACCGCACCAATTTATTTATCTTGCAATTAATGTTTTTATTTTGCGGGATGAATTCACGGGGGAAGAGTTTCTTATTTACCTACATTGGACGATAAGATTCCTAAATTTTCATAAATCCACAACTCGTCCTGTTAAATGGTACAAAATGCATTAATTCCATATGGCTCATCAAACATGGGCCGATAGAGTGATTTATTGAGGAGCGAGACACGAATTGAGGCGTAATAGGAAACAAGACTGAACTTCTCTTCGCCCGTGACCTTCGGTTACTCAGCATGCAGTAAACCAATAGACTAGCAGCTTGTTCCTATTTAAATATATGAAACATTGCTACCTGAAGATAATAATGAGTCTCAGATACCATGTCTTGTTGGAGAGGTATGGCAGCACAATGTCAAAAGTAGGAAACATTGGAGCAGTTTATGTCTTCACTGGAAATAGGCATCTTTCAAATAACTCAGTTGTCAAGTTCTAACCCTCTTTAATGGAGATCCTTAAGGAGTAAGGAGATGCCAGTGCACAAGAGCTCCGTATATGAATCATGGGTACGCATGATTTTTCAGGGAATCACTAAAAGATTTTGCCGCCGAAGGGTAGGCAAATAAGTAGTTGCACTGAGGAACGAGGTTGTTAACTTAATGTTTACTCATGAAGAATGCTCAAGATTCACTGAACGTGCTCTTGTGATCGCAGGGCTGCTGAAATGCCTGGCCGACAATACACCCCCGCCCCTCTTCTGACAGTCCTCCGCTTTCTAGAGAGAATCGCGTTTCCTGGTGCGCTGAGAGAAAGAAAGAGGGAGAGAGCATGGTAGGCTGATGCTGCGCTTGTAAGGATAGACAATGAGAGATTTTCATATTGAGATCTTTCAATTCAATTCCACTAATGAATTTTCTTCAGGAAACTTCAATTGAGCACAAGAGAAACCTCTATCGCACCGCTGCAGTTCCTGCAATGCCAGAATGGCCAAAAGTTGAAATAATAAGGTGTACCCCACACCTTAAACCCACACCATAAAAAAGGAATTAATTGATTGCATGCAGTCAACTGTGGAATATACTACACATCTCCCAGCGAATGAACATCCAGCACTGGATCAAAACTGCCCATTGACTATGTCATGTTCTTCGAGGCATGTAAGTAAATGTTCACATTTGATTTCAGGTCTGGAATTAGCATTAGGAATCTATGGAATCAATTAAATTGTGGCTTCTCCGTTCATCAAACAGTTCCCATTGCAACGCTAAGCTAAGCTAAGTTAACGAGGCCATATATTTTCTCAAACTATCTTACTAGTATATTTTTGCGATGAGGAGAGTGATGCAGACATGTTCCGAGAGTAAGGGCACAAAAACGGGAACTCGAAGAGCTTGGATGCTGTAAGTATGACTGAATGGATCTAGAAATGAATGCACTGAGAGAGCGGCATCAATTGCATCTCTCGAGCAAGCAATTGACACCCAAGTAAAGAGATTCCCTTGTTTTATCGCTGAGAACACTACGTTTTTCTTCCATTCCTTTAGCTTATAAACGTAGGTGAGTTGCGCGGTGTTCCATGATGTTGACGTTATTTAGATAACATCCTGTGATGGTTTCTGTTCCGTAATTTGGGAACTTGATGACTTGTATCTCTCTCTGGAGTTATCAGAGTTTTAATATTGCAGTCCAACATGGAAAGTTTCTCGTTCGTCCAAGAGTAAACACGAGAGGTAACTGGTCATCTTGATTGTAAGAAAGACAAAAAACAGTACCATCCAGAAGCCAAGGGAATTTGCGGGGATTTCAATTGAAGCATCTTTGTTTTGCAATCGGTGTTTTACAAAAGTTAGAGGCATAGGTGATATGTGGTCATGTCACCAGGGTCCGTGGTTCCCAGCATGTTTAGACAACGTTTTGAAAAAAATAAACCACAGCAAAGAGAGAACCTCTGGACTCCCCAGCGAAGCGCTCAAGCATCAGAAACGGTGAATAGGCTCACCATACCCTTTGCCAAGAAAACCCTGAGAACATCCTTCTTGACGCATTTTCACCTCTAAAGAGCGCTAACCCAACATATTATTGAAGAGGAACCCCTGTCATGTATTAAGAAAGAATTTCCACCCATGCTTATGGCCAGGGGCAGTATCTAATAATACCGAGTTTGTTTGCCCTTCAGGCAAACAAACTCGCTATGGTCGCGCCTTCGGCGCTCCCTTACCTTGGATACTGATTAATTCATTCAATTTTTTGCGAAATGGGAAACGCGTATTTAAAGTACGTCCCCATTGAAATACGTGACATATGGGGTCGAATGTCTTGATTTTTTTCATCAAAATCATTACCTTTATGAGTCTGTTTGCCTAACTTGAAATCTTTTCTTGTGTCCCTTTTTGTAAGGGTGGAGAAAACACTTTGAAAAACTTCCCTCCAATAATCTACGCTAAGGATACATATTTCAAAATTAGGATTTCTCCTCTACTCAGCTATCAAACAGGTACTTCTGAGGGAAGTTTAAATTTCCTGTCTCTGTTTCGTTGGAATAAAAAAAAAATCAGGAAAGTGGGACTGAAAAAAGTGCAGTAATGGTGTTATCGAATTTTTATTATTTTGAAATGTAGACTCAGGGAACTCCATGCCATCCAGTTTCAGCCTCATACGTTTCCCTTTTTGCTGACGATAAAAAATATATTTGGAATAGCAACCCATCCAAAAGCTGTGCTATGGGGAAACGCTCAGCAAAAGTTGAATTTTTTCTTAAATCAACATCACGTCCGTTATGCATGTGACAGCTGCTATTTTTCTATTTCTGGCCGATTCCCTAGGATCTTTGAAAACGTTACGTCCCGAAGAAATATGCCCCCTTAAAAATATTTTGGAAAATTGACATTTGAGCTGAGTGCTTCACCAGTCACGTTCTTGCCATGTCACAGCTTTCCATGGGTCTCCCTTTGTTTGAAGCAAAGAGAACTATTTAAATATATGTTCCTCGAAAAGGTGTGCCCCTATGGCGTGTATCACCCAAGAGGAATTTTTCCTGAACTCAGCACGTGAATAGCTACTTATATCAGTCAGTCACGATCGTCAATATATAATATGAAAGTAGAATTATGTCTTTACTCAGCTAGTCATCAGGTAATTCTTTGCACAGTTTAAACTTTCTAGCACCCTCCGTTTTGCTGGATCCATGCCCCCAGGGGATGGATAAAAAATTTTGCATTTTTCCTTATCGCATCGTGTCGGTATGCACGTCCATGCCACGTTTACGCTTTCCATGTCTCTCCGTTTTATTCAAGCAACGGGACATGGAAGGCAAGAGAAGCCAAAAGAAAACACGGAAACAGCCGGGAATTGAAGCCAGGCCTCACGATTACCGGTCAGATGTGCTACCACTACACCACCTAAACGTCAACATGCCATATTGTCTCTCGATGACATCCTTATCCATCACGATGCATATTTTTAAAAAACCTCTCCCCCCCAAAATGTGTACCCCCAGGGCATATACCTCCAAAGTCGGATTTTTTCTGAACTCGACATCCCCAAAGGTACATGTGTACCAATTTTCAGATTTCTAACCCTTCTACAACATGGTTAGAATTAGCGTCAGTCAGTCACGATCGTCTATATACAGTAGATGGGGATGGCCGCCATGACCACTGATTCAAAACGTTTTCTATTCCACTTACTACTGTTCTGAGATAGGAATATTCANACCAGTAATTGTGAGGGTTCCTCATAACCCATGTCTGGGTTCAATTCCTAACCATTCCATGCCGTTTTCTTCATTTCTCTTGCCTTCCATGTCCAATTGCTTCAATAAAACGGAGAGACATGGAAAGCCGAAACGTGGCATGGACGTTCCTACTGATACGATGAGTTCAGGAGAAATGTAAAATTTTAGATCCATGCCCTGGGGGCATATTTTTGGGGCCGACGATTTCAAGTATTTTTTTTTGTCCTGGTGTACAGAGCTAGTGTGGAAAGATGAAACTTGGTACATAATTACCTACCGGGATTCTGTATGCAGAAAAATTCAGACTTTGGAATGAAATGGCCTGGGTCATGAATTTCAAAGGGAGAATGTTTTCACATAATTTTTTTTCCATTAGATAAACCGATGGACATGGAAAGCTTGAACTTTGCATGAATGTGACTACCAAAAAAAAGAGTTAAAGAAAAATGTGAAGTCTTCATACATCCCCGGGGGAAAATGTCTCGAGGGGCGATGTTTCAAAACAAAGAAATTGTCATTGCGCATTCGACAAAAATGGAAAGGTGAAACTTGGCACACGTGTAAGTGAGGTGATATTATTGAGTTGAGGGAGTATTCAGCTTTTATGGTGCATCCACTCCCGGCATAGCTTTTGGGTGGGTCGGCTTTTCCAAACATGATTTTTCACCAGTGAAAAGGACAAACGTATAATATTGAAACTTTGTGGGCACGTAGTTCACTGAGGTTTGATTTCGGTAAAAAATAGTACTTTGCTGTTATAACGCCCGAGGGCATATAATTTCCAATTTTTCATAAATTTGCTGATTCAGCAAAACAGAGTGTGGTAGAAAGTGGATAAAAGTGGATCTTTAAAAACGTGGAAATGTTTTCTAATATACATATAGACGATCGTGACTGACTGACTGACGCTAATTCTAATAATGTTCAAGAAAAGTTAGAAATCTGAAACTTGGTGCATATGTACCTTTTGGGGTGCAGAGTTTAGAAAAATTCTGACTTTGGAAGTAAATACCCTGGCGCACAACTTTCAAAGGGAGACATTTTCCAATAATTTTTTTGCATCATTTAAACCAATGGAGATGGAATGCTGAAACTTTGCATGAATGTGACTACTGACACATTGCGTTAAAGGAAAATGTTAAGTCTCGATGCATCCCCTTTGGGAATTTTTTTCGAGGGGCGATGTTTAATTAAATTATTCGTGGCGA